AATGGGATTAATGTAGTTTCGGGGTTTATTTGGTATTGAGCTTTTTTCGCGAAAGAATTATTTGGTAATTGTTTTTGGAGATTCTGAAAATTGAAATTTTTGACGTCGATGATAATTAGTGATTAATCTCAGTAAAATGAGGAGATAAATGATTGAGAATTTTATGTAGATTCAAAGATTTGCAAACATCAAACTTGTCTGTTAAATTGCATAAAAACTATTTGAAAACAATTATGAATTACAAATTGCATTGATTTTTTTTCAACATTTACCGTTCACAGATGGGAAGTGAAATGAAATTTTTGTTGCACTGTTGAAGTCTTTTTTCAACTGAAAAATGGGGAGGCCGGCGTGAGAGTTTTAGGGTCGAGGGTTTTTTTTATTTGGAGGAAAATGAGGGGAGTAATGGGATTAATGTAGTTTCGGGGTTTATTTGGTATTGAGCTTTTTTCGCGAAAGGGTTATTTGAGATTATTTGGGAAGTATTTTTGGAGATTCTGAAAAGTGAAATTTTTTACATCGATAATAATTAGTGATTAATTTCAGTAAAATGATGAGGTGAATGCTTGAGGATATTATGTGGATCTAGAGATTTCCAAACATCAAACTTGTCTGTTAAATTGTGTAAAAACTACTTGAAAAAAATTATGAATTACGAATTGCAAATATTTTTTTTAACCTTTACTGTTCACAGGTGAACAATGAAATTTTTTTGTTGCACTTTTGAATTTCTTGAAAAATAGCGAATCTTTGCAAATTTTCAAATAAATAAAAAAAAACGATTATTGCTATCGCCTTCATCTTCGAGCTTGGTCAAAAGGACATTCAAACAAATTTTTTAAACCATGATTCAATCAATTCAGAACATTTTTTTAGTTATCGTGACAAAACCAATTTTTGAAAAATTTAAAAAACTTGAAAAATTAATAAATGAATTGAATTTCAATCAATGACGATTCATAGGGCTCAACAATACCTGCATTTGAGGAAAGAAAGATTCAATCCCATCGATTTATTAAGCGAACAATCGAAGAAAAATTTGATTAGAAATAAATAAATTTGATTAAAAATTGGATTTTCGACAATTTTGGATCATAATGGTTCGATATAATAGGAAAAATCCAAAATTTAAATTTCAACGATTACAATGCTTCCGTCGGGAAGCAAAAACTCATGTTTTTTCAATAGAAAAAACATGTTTTCAATAGAAAAAACATGATTTTTTCCATGTTTTCATCGCTTCCCACGAATTTCTGCTCAGTAATACTAATACGGATTTCTGCTCAGTAATACTACAGAAATTCGTGTTCATGAAAGAACATATTGATTCCAACCAACTTAAATTCTAACGCGTTAAATCTCATAAAACCCATCAAATTGTCAGGCGCGCTCCGTGCGCCTTCGATCTCACAAGCCAAAAAAATCCCGAAATCGGTTATTGACATGAGCTAAACCCCCGTCAAGTGCACAGAGTTAAATATTCAATAAAAATTACGTATCTTTTTCATAATTCCGGACCGAAATGTGGTTGTAGGAAATTTTCGGAACTGTCACGGAATTTTTCCAGAGCATTCCGTAATTTTCATCTGAATCTCTTGTGAAAAATTACGACATCGTCACTTAAATTTCCTGAGTCGATTCTGTAATCGGTCAGCGAGTTGTGAGTTCGGTAATTTTTACTGAACATTGCTCTCCGTGCGTACCACACATCGCCTTATTACCTAGTGAACTAAAAATCCGTTTCCCGGCACTTCCTTCCACCCAAAAATTGCTCCCAATACGTACAGCCCTCGCATCCCCAGCCATGCACACCTACCAATAATTCATCCCTGACCGTCCAAACGTCATCATGAATTAACCCCCTCCCTTCTTATTGCTTCCAGATGGGAGAGAGAGAGCGACCGTCTACGGGGGGTCTCCCGTTGAACCTGAATTCACACCACCTGGCCCCGCAGGACTCTTCTATCTCCCCTACCGAAGAAACCAAAACCCCCGAATGAAAAAAAAAACACACTATATGAGTCCAAGAGCGGCCGAAATCCAGAAAGAACCTGAAAAGCGAATGAACAGAGAGCGCGATCCACCGAGCGAGACGAGGGCCCACACATATAATCCGGTCGTCTATCAATCGGACGACAAACCGCATCGTGCAGACGAACCCAAAATGCATCTCACCAGAGGCACACAGAGATGACAGCAATAATGACAACACGATAATAACGACATCACGAAAATAACGACATCACGAGAATAACGACATCACGAGAATAACGACATCACAAGAATAACGACATCACGATAATTACCAGACCGAAAGATAAACAAGAAATAGATGTAAAAAATAATCTGATTAATATAATTGACATTGGGCAGCTTTACTTGATGACACTAACCCGTAGATCCGAACTTGTGAGCTATTTTATATGCATACCGCAAGCTCCTTTCTACCGGTACATGTAGTCAGGCCGTCGTTTGTGACTTATCGTCCCAACAGCACTGATATTGCATTTCTAACCCGACACATTCGGATCATCGGGACACCAAGAGCATCACTGAAGAGCACCCGTGTTTTTTTTTTTAAAAAAAACGTCAATTACTCGATGAAAATTTTTTGTCAATTTCTTTTCGGCTTCTCATTAACGTTCGGAGCCATCGTCAATGGGGAACTGATCGATCAGTCGACTGAGTTATTTGTTTCTTGTTTTTAACGACGAAAAATGGTGAGAGGAGACTGCGGCGATGCCTGGGTGAGGTAGTAGGTTGTATAGTAGGGAAATTGCAATAATGTGTAATTGCAGATATGAAATCCACTGTACAACTTGCTAACTTTCCCGGTCGTCGGCGCCCCAACGTTGGATGATACCGGAACCCTCCCCTCTTTCCGTGTGGTTCAGCAGTTTTTTTCTTGGGGGAATGGGGAGGGCCCACAGGCATCGGCTGTCGTCCTTGTGTTATTTATTTTTTTATCTGGAGATGGAGAAGAGGAGAAATGAAGAAGAAAGTGCTGGGTGAGATGAACGAGCGATCAGGGGAGAGGGGGGGGGGAGGGACAGTGTGGAGGAGAGAAAGTTGAGGATTTTTTTGTTTTTTTGCATGAGAGAGAAAAAATGGGGAATTGGTTTGGACAGAGGGATTGTGCGAAGGGCAATGGCGGTCAGGCGACTTAAAGAAAAAACATGAGAAAGTTTTTAAAAAAAGTTGTTTTTTTGTTCTTTTTTGAAATAATGCCTGCACCGCTTCGCCGGTTCCCTGAGACCCTAACTTGTGACGTCGCGTCCGATATCTCACAGGCTAGATTCTCTGGTATTGGCGATGAGTTCTGCCTTTTTTGGTGAACGAGGATGAGAGTGTGGAACTGTTACTTTTGGGGTAGAGATGGGTTTTAGGTAAATGGGGGGGGGGGGGCGTGTGTGTTAAGTTTGGTGGTCACTTTGTCGTTCTGATGGTTGAGTGCAGGTGGAAATATTTTTTGTTGCATTTTTTTATTCGTCTTTCTCGCATTTCAGTACACTGTTAAAATTATTTTAGTAGTCATACACCAAGAGCCTCGAAATCATGGGGAATTTTCCGATAGCTTCGTTGCAAATAAATGAGGGTGTTAAATTTTGCAGAAAAAATTAATTTTATCAAGAGAATTTTATTTGAAGCAATTATCATTTGGTTGTTAATTTTCAAATAAACATGATTTCATAGGGAATACGAGTTATCTCTTGTTGAGATACATTTGGTTGGGAGAAATCGAACTTCTCTAGAATTGAAGTTCCTTTTATTTGTCGCAATAATGAGAGTATTTGATTTCTTTCCAGCGAAAAGTTTGCTAACTCCAGAAATTCGTTGGCTTACTCAAAAATCAAAATTAGTCTCATGACTAAATACGTCGTTATCTCAAGCAACACGATCATACGTTGTTCCAAGTAAATTATAATTGAAGTGAGCATTTCGTATGTCGAATCAGGATGAATATTGTTACGCGGAAAAAGCTTTGAGATTGTAGTAAGATTCCGTTGAGTGGAAAGAAGTTTATGTTTTTTGACTAAAAAATCGCATTAGTTTACAATAACAGAATCACAGATTACGGTAATTCAACGAAAACTTGGATATCACAAATTTCGTTCAATGTGATGTACGGAAAGCTCAATTTAAACATCGGCTTCATTCGAGAAAACAACATTCAATTCATTCCTCAATGTAATCATCTCCTAGGTAAGAATTTTTTATCAATTCATGAAAGTAGAAAATTTCTCGACTGGAGATTATATTAGGTTAAAACAAATAGAAATTTTCTGTATCTCAAGAAGAAATAATTGATATTCACCGAAGATCTTATTTATTTGAAATTGGTTCAAGTGTATAATACTTGTTCCAAGAAAGAAACTTCTCAATAAAAATAATTTTTTCTATCAGTGTACGTCAGGCGAATACGCGTCGTTTTTCGTGTTTTTGGCTTTGAAGTGTTCGATTTAAAGTTTTTTTTCAAACTTTTCGTTAAATTCCGTAGAATGAAACTATTTTTTTTTAATCATCTCAATTAGATTATGGAACAATTTAGCGATATTGCCACTTACACCTTCGCACCATCCATAATTTCCAAAATTATCCAAGTAAGACGCTAGGATAACGCAAACTGTATCTTGTCGATGATGATCAGCCAGGCAACTCTCGCTACTCGGACGTTGACGAATACAGATCATATAATTTAATTTACAGTTGTCCTAGTAGTCTGAGCCCTTTTGATTTGTCGATTGTCGTATATTTATAAACATTAAGGGGAGGTTCACCTCGGGAAAAAACTTCGTTTTTCGAGAAAAAGAATTTAACAATACTATTTTCCGCGTGATTCTCCCTCAGGAATCAATGATTCTAAATCTATGTAAATATAATGTAACATGCGATGAACTCAGGCAGATTGATTCTTTGTGGATCACCGTGCGAATGGAATAAGGAAAGATGGGAAAATAAAGGTTTGTTCATAAAAGAAGAGACCAAGTTGTTGACAAAATTGTTATTTATCCAAGTCCTTATTCTATTTGATGTTTATTATTTACAAGAAACGAAAAAACCCAGCGTAACATAAAAACGAAAGAAACAAAGCATAAAGAGTGAAAATATTGTAATTATTCCATACTTATTCCTAGCTTTAAAACATTTTTAACTTGCAGATGTATTAGAATAATATAAAAGTACACAAATGCAATGGATACTGCACCCCTCCGAACAATTGTTGAGCAGGTGGCTGAGTTTGTGATGCTCTCATTTAGATAACTAATTATAATCATCAACCAAAAAAATTCAATTGATTTCAGAATCGAAGTGGTAATCTGTTATTAATCGAATCCGACATTTCATGTAACTGTGAAAAGTAGTAATTTTAGGAGGAAATGTTCAACTAAAAATATCTTTTGACACTTTCTCTCAAGATTACACCTGATTGTAATAATTTAGAAATCCCAGAGAAATGAAAAAATTCATCCAATCAAAAAATAAGTACAAAATCATTATTGATTGTACATTAATCTTTAAGACGAGGGATTTTAGAAAAAAAATCAAGAGATGTTTTCTATAATTCATAAAATGTTGAAAACAGATGGGAAAAATTAATTGATTAAAAAAATAAGCATGAAACGCATGCCAGCAGATTTTATTCGCAATTGAGGAAATTTTCAGTAAAAAATATCTCAAAATTGTCCTCTAAAATCTCTCATTACCGAGATAATTCATATGTGAAAAAGAGACCTGTCAAGTTTAACCACTTCCCTAATAATTTGATGAATTACCACTCAATAATAAAACACAGGGACAAAATTAATCAAAAATATCTCTTGCCCTCTTCAACCAATCTGCTGAGCTCAGCAGCCGAATAGCCAAGGAGTTGCTTCAAATCACAAACAAATTTATAAACGAATCTCTTTCCATGAACCTTGGAAATCATATCTCCGTCGTAATAATACCTCAGTGCACGACTCAATTTTTCGTAATTCATGGAGGGTTTGTTCTTACGTGCCCCCCACAGTTGTGCCACAGCTTCCGGCTGATTCAGCTTGAATTCCCCATCACTTCCCACCCATCTGATGGCATCTCTGTGCTCACGATCTGTCAGTAATTCGAGTAAAAACTGCCACAGCTGAATTTGTCCGCTGTTCACTGTACGACTTGATGTTATTAGTGGTGTATGAGATGACTCTTGCACTGGTACACCTACTAGTCGCGTGTGCTGACTCATCACACGAGCTTTTGATGGCTTTGCATTGGTACGCATTTTTATGGATTTTTCGTCTGACAGGTCTTCCAATTTCGGCTCTTTTTGTACGACAGCTTAAAAATTTAATGAGTAAATGTTTTAGTGAAGTTGAGACATTTGAATAGTTTATGAATTGTGGATTATCTTATGAAATTCAGTTCTGTAATTATATTTTAGAATTTTTTAACGAGGAAACTGCTTTTTTATTGAACAAGTAATTATGAAGGAGAGGCTCTGCAAATTTTTTATTGCAGATTTACGGATATTGATTGAAAATGAGAATTAGTTTTCTCAATGTCATGACTCATTTTGTTTCATTATTTAGCTACTCAATCGTTTGATAATTCGTTATTTATTCCCACGGAATGATTACCATCGTACTATTTTTATAATAAGAGATATTCATAAAAAACTGAAGAAATACTCAAATAAATAATTCATGGTATTCTACAAATTAGAATCAATTTGTACGACAGCTTAAAAATTTAATGAGTAAACGTTTTAGTGAAGTTGGGACATTTGAATAATTTCTGGATTGTGGATTATCTTATGAAATTCAGTTCTGTAATTATATTTTAGATTTTTGTTGCAGAGAAACTGTTTTTTTTATGAACAAGTAATTATGAAAGAGATGCTCTGCAAATTTTTTATTGCTTAGATTTATAGATATTGATTGAAAATTAGAATTAGTTTTCTCAATGTCATGACTCATTTAGTTTCGTTATTTAGCTACTCAATCGTTTGATAATTCGTTATTCATTCCCATGGAAAGATTACTATCGCATTTTCTAAGGAATTTAATTAAACATTGCCCACGAATATTCTCCTGCTCGTTTATTCTATACTTGTTTGCCATTAGAAATGATGAATATCTCAAAATTATTGTAAATATTTTCGTTTATCTCTCACATTACTCCACAAAAAAAGTCCATAGAAATCACCCCGCATCTCTTAAACTACGAGACATTCATAAAAAATCACATCAATTTAAAGTAGAATAGCCTGATCTAATTTTACGATTTCTTCACAGCATCGTAAAAAAAATATTTTTCATACTATTTCCTAGTGCATGTAATCAATGCTTCATTATAAATCTCTGCTCAATAATTCATTTCATTCCCAAGATGATAAAATACTAGAATAGTTTGAATTAAAATTAACAATTCAGTGTTATCCGGACATTTATCCCAAAAAAAAGCTTTGATAATGATTTATGCCACTCACCAACAATTTTACATTGTCTCAACAGTTCCAGATGTGTCCAAAAGACCTCACCAGGGTCCAGAGGAACTTTAGCCTGGAACTCCTCCAACGTAAGATCGCACAATTGCGCCCCAGTTATGTTCCAATCAGCCAATCTGAGGGAAACCAAGTTGAATTGTCTCACTGCCCACTGTAGCCAGTGCTTCACATGTGTCTGTGTCCAGTTCTTGGGGTCCGCCGGGATCTTCAAACGCTCCTGCAATAATCACCCCATTACCCATTAATTCCACTCATCAATAAAACAATTTTTTAACTTGGAACTTAATTGCCAGTCATTTGTACCTGTTCCTGTTTATATTGAGCATCCACCAGCCACCTGATTACGTTCTGTTTATTATCCGGCTGTGGAGCGACTGGAGCTGCTATAAAAACATCATAAAACACGTGAAAAAAATAACGGAATGCGATATTTTAATCGTCAAAGGGATTTTAATTACCCTCCGGAATCTCTACGTAGTCCTCAGCTGGTTTCAGCACATCCACTATATTTATCCTTCTCTGGGGTGCTTTTATCTGGACATTAACCTGGACCAGACCTTCGCCTTGGACACATTGGTCCACTAAATTTTTATGACTCTCCAGCTGGAAATAATATCACTGAAATGAAATTTCATGCCAAATAGTGAAACCAGATGCAAATAAAAAATGGGAATGTAGTTAAATTAAGGGAGGTGGTGGAGTTTGTCAAAATCCCTTTTGTAGCTCGGAAATCGCTCTGCAAAAATATATATTTATGAAAATTGGGTTATTTTTTTATTGTTTCGTAAGTTTGTTATCAAACATTTACGAAATCTTTGTCTTTTTCATTAGTTGGGGAATTATTTCCTAGAAATTGCCACTGGAATTTCACAAATTCTCGTAATTAAAAAACATTAGCAAATTAGATTCCTTATAAATTGATGAAGAATTCAATGAAAACTGTAAATTTCAGTTCAATCATTCAGTGAGAATGAGGGGAGATGAGAAGAAATCAGCGGAATTCTGAATTAATGGAACATTCTGATCTTTTTGGTACTAAATATTCCCGTTTAATTGAATATTAAATTATTAACTGAAATCGGTTCATGAAAGTCAGTTATGGCATTTTCCTATTATTATTTTTACTTGCAGGTATTTGAATTCCCTTGATTTTTTAAATTCAAACTGGGATACTCACTGAACATTTTTTTCTTTAATTTTTTCATTCTATACCTAACTGAAATTAAAAATTTCTCAAGTCTGTCCATTCTAAAGGGAATGCAATAACATTCTCTTGAAAATGACTACGAGACTGTGCATTAATTTGAAAAATAATAGAATTGATAATTTAATTTCTCAATTATTGGTTGATAAAATAATTCGGAATTTGAATATTTAAATTGATGATAATTTTAATAATCAAAAAATTGGTGAGTAATATTAACAATTGACTTATTCAAAATTTAACTTTAAGGCCCGGGTGTACTATCTTTCGAACGTTATCTCGATGTTTTTTTTCATCTTTCATCATCTGAAATTGTCAATTGAGTCCTGCATCATGCAGAAGTTTTGAAAAATTATGAATGAATAATAAAAAAAAAATAGAGAAAATTCTTAATTTTTTCAAAGAGCATTTTTAATTTATATTCAGAATAAGTTGAATAACAAGGAATTGAAAAATGTATCTGATTTACATGCAGGGGGAAGACTGATTTCGTAAATCTTTTCCCACACTGTACAGAGACATTTATCACGAGAAAGGCTCTTTGAAAAAAGTTGTAATATTTTGGAGAATTTTTTAACCACACTTTTATCACATAAAAATGGCAGATGACTACATACCACTGTTTTTAAAATTGAGATACCTAGCTGTGACTTCCCATGAGGAGTTAGTGTTTTGTTATCCACCATGGAAAATGACAGCTAATAGATAATTTGCCACAGCGAATCAGATATTTGTAATTTCCACTTTTTTCAACTCATTCTGAATCTCAATTAAAAACGCTCTTTGAAAAAGTTCAGTTTTTTCTATTTTTTTAATCATTCTATCATAATTTTTGGGAATGTCTACATGATGTACCACTCAATTGACAATTTTGGAGTACGAAAGCTAAAAAAAATCCAGATAACATTCGAAAGACAGTTCACCCGGGCCTTAAACTCCTAAAAATTTACCATTTGTGCATCTTGCAGCCAGAAAGAGTAGTCAGTCAGCTCCACCCCGAGCCTCTGCTCCAGTAAATTCCTCAGAGTGGAGAGAGGCTCTCTGATATCCATATGCTGCATGAGCACCCCCTCAGTGCTCTCTTCCCCATTGTTGCTCTCCAATGCAAAACTCGGCTCGACCTCGAGGTCCGAGCTCTCCTGGTGGAGCTGAGCCATGATATCGTCGTCCTGTGTCAACATCGTCTCCGGCTCCATCTTAATCCTCTTCATCATGGCAAAATCATCGTCCGTATCGTAACTACAGATAAACAACCACCATTGAACCACGACGAAACCAAAACAAAGTGCCTCAGAAATGAAAACAAACTCGTGAAAACAAAAATAGTAGAAAATTGCTCTATTCACCGATGTTGGAGAGGGTACTTTGCATTAATTTCTTCAACTTTTTCTTAATTTGTTATCGAAGCATTGGAGGGGAATGGGAGGTCATGATTCCTAGGTTAGAATCGTGCAATAATATACTCTTCTACCTCTTCCTCTGGCTTTTCACGTGACTCGGGTGATCCATCACCGGCACTTAATTCTCCCACTCGACACTAAAACTTGTCCAGTTGAGGATTTTATTAGTTTTGCTTAAGCAACTCGCGTTTATTTATTATCGTCAAACAAATGCAAATCGCATCATAACCTCGACCATTTTTACGAGGTCGTGTTGTCGTAGGAATTGAAAACATGAGGGTAAAGCTTAAGTGTGGAACGATCAATTAAATCAAGCAAATTCAAAAATTATTTTCACTTTTTCTTTGCTGGATAGTAATAAAAATTAGTGTTCAACATTTTTTAGTGTTTTATCATCACTATTATTGCTGTAATTAGGTTATTCACTGGGAAATTGTTCGTAAACCCTAAATTTGAGACTAAACATCAAGTTTAGTCAATCAACAATGAATTTAGAAAATGATTTCCATTTTCATTGTTTAATGATGATAAAAATCAATGTTAAAATTATTTGAGGCCTCATTAGCATCAGTACAGATGGAATTAGATAATTAACTACGCAATTTTGTGAAAAAATGAGAAATGTGAGGGTAAACCCCGAGTTTATAACAATTAAATTTGAAAATCATTTCCATTTTCATTGTTTGATGATGATAAAATTAATATTGGAATTATTTAAGCTCTTATTAGCATCATTATAGTTGTAATTAGGTAATTAACTCTGAAATTATTCGTAAACAGTGAAAATTTCAGGCTAAACCTCAAGTTTATAACAATGAAATTCGAAAATGAATTCCATTTTCATTGTTCAATGACGATAAAATTAATATTGAAATAATTTAAGGTCTTATTAGCATCATTATAGTTGTAATTAGGTAATTAACTCTAAAATTATTCGTAAACAGCGAAAATTTCAGGCTAAATCTCAAGTTTATAACAATAAAATTCGAAAATCAGTTCCATTTTTATTGTTCGATGACGATAAAATTAATATTGGAAATATTTAATCACTTATTAGCACCAGGACAATTGTAATAAGGTAATTAACTTTGCAATTTTGTGTAAAAATTGAAAACGTGATAGTAAACCTAAAGTTTATACCGATAAATTAAAAAATTATTTACTTGTTTTTTCGCAGCGTAATAATAACAATTAATGTTCAGACTTGTTTTAATGTTTTATAATCATCATGAGTGTTGAAACTAGTTAATTAATTCTGCAATTTTTCCTAAATATTGAAAATGTAAGGGTAAACATTTAGTTTGGAACAATGAGATCTAAATTTCCATTTCCGTTGTTCCATAGTAATAAAAATTTAGTGTTCAGAAATTATTAATGCTTTATCATTATCATTAGTGTCGTAATTAGCTAATTAACTTCGTAATTTTACGTAAAAAATTAAGACGTCAAGGTAAACTTCAAAGTTGTAATGATAAAATTCCAAAATAAATTTCTTTTTTATTGCTCAATGATAATAAAAATTCACATCCAAACATTTTTAATAACTATTTATCATTATTATTACTATCGTGGTTTGGTAGTTAATTTTGCAATTTTTATAATTAATCAAATGTGATAATTCATGCTCCTAGGTGCTTGAGGATTGATGAACCACTCATTTACTCGTCATAACAATTTTTATTATCATAGTATACAGAAAACGTAGCATCTTAATTCTAAATCACTAAATTCATTCAGTGTAATTACGTATATCGATTATACCTAGGCACTTCCATCTGAGTGTTCATCTTAAAATTACCTGGTACAGTTGATTACACCTACTCAAAAGGCAGTTTTGAAAAATAAACGGCGGATTCTCCGAGTTAGTTAATTCAAATTAATGTGGACTAGAATATTATGTCCAAAATGGTATAAAAATCCGATAGAATCCTACAATAAATAATATTCTTCCAACAAACGTGCTTAACAAAAAAAAAATTCCCAACGTTCTACATGAGGGTTACATTGATGACGAACGTTGAGCCAAAAATTATTAAATTTGATTGGATGAGTCTCATTCTACTTCGTAGTTTTCGTCAGGAAATCTTTCAAAGAGACGTGCTTGGTCTCGTCAATCAGGTGGTAACACGTTTGACCTGCGAAGTTGGGGAGGTTCGGTTTTGCCCCACTGGTCAATAGCTCTCTCGCTATTCTAAGCTCGTCGTTCTCCAGGGCGTGAAATAGGGCAGTTCTTCCTGATTTGCCATCGCGAACGTTGAGGTCTGCGTCTGCTGCTATCAGTGCCATCACTCCATCGTAGTTTCCGAGTTGGGAGCAGTGATGGATTGCAGCAAATCCTGGAAACCGAGAGGGAATAATTAGGAATTATTTTATGCACCGAAATTTGATGGGGATTTAATTACAACTTAAATAATGAGGGGAGATGATATCAGATCAGATGGGAAGAAACGAGATTAATATTTCTGGGGATAATCATATAATTATCTAATTAAATGATAACGTAAATTAATAATAATTGTTTACCACTTGAGTCCACGTAGTTGAGAGCCCCAGGTGTTGGTGCATGTTTGATAAGCAGAGGGAGACAACGCATCCCCTCTCTGCTTGCCATCGTCAGTGCTGAATCGTGAGCTGTTTGTGATGACGTAGGATTTGCCCCGGCGCGGAGTAGCAATCGAATTATTTCTTCTGAATTGACGAATTTTATCGCCAACTCCAGACTCGTCTGAAAGGGAAATTAAATCATGATTTGGGTGGATATTTACGGGTTAAAATGCTTTGATTCTTCATAAAATTATTGTTCTGAACGTAGTTTCTTCCGTTAAATTGGCTTATTCCGGTCATTGTCCTTTGATTCTTATCATGAATGTCTTGAAATTCAACGGAAATTGATAGACTTTTATACGATTTTTTTTGTAGTTATTTTTTTGCAGCTTTCTTCGACATAAATATTCCATGTCTTCATCAGTTCTTTTCTTTATTATATGAAAAAAATGAGTGGATAAATTAATAACAATTTCAAGAGAAAGTTACATCCAACGGAAATAGACAGATGTCCATGAAACCTTCTTTTGTGAATAATTTTTTCCAATAAAGATAAAAAATCGCTTATAAAAATGTTCAACATAATCTTCAATTCTGACATTTGTTTTTCAAAAATAAATTCAATGTCAAATAGATTGTATTCACTCCATCATTCACAATTCAAATTTTGATTTCTGCCTTAACCATTGTCCAAAAATTTACCCGAAAATGGAATTAATTCGTCTCGTTTTTGACTTCAGATTTTAATAAATATCTGGGAATGTAAGAAAAATGTCAAAATTTTCAATTTGTTCGAAGAGAAACTCAATAATAATCTGAACACATTTTGCATTTTTTATCATTTGGATTTTTTAAAGATTTCCCTAGAAACTTCTTTTGTAAATAATATTTTTGCCAATAAAAATGATAAATCTCCTATAAAAATGGCCAATAGTCTTTTACTCTCACATTAGTTTAAAAAAAAATCAAAGTCAAATTGATTGTATTCGTTCCATTCACCAATGACTTATCTCCCCAAGGATTATTTTCGCAGATCCATTTTTTCTACCCAAAAGTTTTCACCAAAATTTTCATGTCATGTTTTCACTCCAACAATGTGCCCAAAAAAATCACCCCAAAATGGAATTAATCAATCTCACTTTTTATTTAATATTTTAACAAATTTGTGAAATTTTTCCATCGCTTCTCCTCTCCAAGAGCGTCTCCTCTAGACCCAAATTTCCAAATGCCCCCAAAGTCTTCAATCCTCCCAAAAATTGCGTCACCCATCCCCGTCAACCCTCATGGAAATAACATATATCTCAGTATATTTCACTTATATTTCGGCCAAAAATGTCATATGCCAGATATATTCTAGATATAAATATGCACATATATCTCGATGTAAAATATTTAACATATATCTGCAATATATCTCAGATATATTTTCGGCCAAAAATGTGGTATACCAAATATATGCTAGATATAAGTGCTGCATATATCTCATTCCCATAAGGGAACACCTTCCCCCTCAACTCCCAAAAATTCTAAAAAAATCAACTCACCTGTCCCTCCTGCGTGGGTATATCCACACTGATCTTGCAAGCCTTCAAAAGCATCAGTTGCTTCCTGAGCCCCACGACATCCTCATCGAGAACGGCCCTGTGAATATTCAAGAACCCATTCTCATCAAACTTCCTGACATTCGCAAAGTCCCTCTGCAGCTGGGTGTACAGTTTCTCAGTCCCCGGATCGTACTTCATGATATTATGAACCTCCTTAACCCTGTCACCCTCCGCGAGTTTCATCAGCATAGAGTCCAACTCTCGTCCATCGAACGCACACCTCCACCTCTCCTGTGGCGTGTCCTCCCTCCTGCCCTCCCCCTCGGCCGCCTCCACCTGCCTCTCCCTCAGAGGAATCCTCTCCAGTCCCTCTTCATCCTCACAAGCCCTCACGAACTCCTCCTTCCCCTTGTCCAGCATACAGAACACCTCAGTCTGGGTCTCCGAGTCTTTAACAGAAATCTGCTCAACAGCTTTCTTGGGGATGAGTCTCTCGACTCCAATGCCCACACTCCTGAGGGCCTCCAGCGCTTTATTCCTCAACTCAGCATCAGGAAGGGACCTCAGAGCCTCCCCCAGGACACTCAAGTCATTCCCATCGACCTCCGTCGACTCCCCATTCCCATCCCCACCAAAATCACTGCCCCCTTGCTGGACCACCGGAATATTCGTGCTGTCGCATTCAGACCTGGTCGACCCACTCGAAGCATTCGGCTCCTTCTTCTCCCTTCTGAGAAGATTAACACGTCCCAAGGAGCTCCTCGGTGCCTGCCTGACGTTCTCCAGGGTCTCCTGGGTCGGCAGCTCCACCCCAGGGAGGACCTTCAACGTCTCCTCATCCGGCACAACGTAGTACATGTCATTCTCAACGTTAACCGTCTCCAAGCTGTCCAGCTTGATGATCTTGCTGGGATCAATTCGAGCAACTGGCGTCTCCAATGACTTCCTCTTGCTCCCAATGATCCTGTCCTTGCTGACAACTCGCTTCCCTCCAATCAGCTTCTGCGAACTCAGACCATTCACCACCTTGATCTTCATCCCAGGCGGCAGAGTCCTCGTGTTCTTGATGCTGACATTCCCCATACTCTGCATTTTGTTGAAGTTCAAGGGAACATTCGAGGCATCGACAGCCCCATTGTTGCCCACATTCATCTGCTGGCAAGTTCCATTCTGCACTCCGTAGTTCTGCCCGTTTACCACCACTGGAGAAATTGGAATCAGGACTCCATGTGTCGCTGACTGATCAGACGGCCTCGCCTCCTGCGTCGGTTTCTGGAGGTACTTGATGGTGGAGATGGTGGGGGCAGGCTTCATGCCTCCGGGCACCTTCAGCTGGGGGATCTTCGAGGCCTCGGGGCTGATGCTCTTCAGCATCGAGAGGGTATTGTCACCGGTGATGTGGGGCAACACCTGGACGTCGAACTCACCCAAATCTCTGCCATCGGGGGACTTTAGCTTGAGCTTCTGCAGCTTGTTCGTTGGGTCGATCTTCCCGGATTTGATCTTCAAGTTTATGGTGGACTGGGTGCCCCTGATTCTCTCCAGGGTCACGTTCATTGACGACTTTTTCATTGCGTTCGCCATGCTGGGGTACGTCTGGGGCAGCTTGAACTCACGGACACACTCTGTTACCTGGAGCTTTGGAGCTACTGGTGCAGCACGTTTACGTTTTTTTAACTTTGGCTTCTCGCAGTCAGTATTTTCCATTGTTCATTCGCGAATTCATTTAGGGCGATGCCGTTGCAGGCAGAATTATGAGGATACTCCCATTTCTTTGGAATTTTGTTGTACTTTAGTACCTCGATTTGTAAAAATTGTTTCGGTGAGAATGTCAAGAATTTTTCAATTCGTCGTTAACAATTTTTTATGCTGAAAGCTTCGGTTGGTCACGCAGTCATGTGATGTCCACGTATTTTGCGTTATTTTCGGGGGATATTATTGGATTATTTAATTAGATGAAGGTTAATAGTTATTTAATGGATTATGACAAAGAATAATTTTGCATTTGACGGTTTTACGTACTTTTTAGCAGTTTTATTGTTGAGATATAACCGTAATTGATGGAGAGTCTACGTTGTGACGTGCGTGATTCTCGGGAAAAGAAAGGGGGAATTACTGACTTGCCGAGCGACGCATAAAGAAGGACATCCCTGTTGAGAATGCCTTGAGTGTGCACTTTTTTTGTCCCAGGTTAAACACACGAGGATTTTCCACTTTGAAAATGACATCAACTCGGGGATTTTCTCGGTTCAAAGCGTATTTTTGGATTTAGAATGTCGTTTGTTTCGATTGTCAACGGAAATTTACACGACTTTGAGTTTTTATCACACTTCACTCGTTTATTTACTGGGCAATGCGCTCCACACAGATGTGTAATCGTGGGTCTGGTTAACCTCAATTGATCTCATTGGTTGGCTGGGACGGAGCTGGCCAATGGGAGGGCGAGCGCGCCTGGGAGCGTTTACAATGGGGAGTTCCCCTGTGAATAAAATGTAGATATAGACCGCGGAGAGCGGCTGGAGACCCCCCGCGCCATCTCAGGACTGCTGTTGGAGGGTTCAACTTATCGGCTGCTGGTTTTTGAACTTGTGGCGGGTGTTTTCGAAGAGTCGAAGGCTTCATGCAATAATTTGTTGGATGTAGGGGAGATTGGGGTAAAACGGACACTTTTGACTTTTCTTTAAATGTCAATGAGGGTTTGAAATGTTGATAAAAATTAATAATTTTCCTTTCAATACAAAGAAGAATTCTTTCCCTTTGTGACGAGCCTAAATTGAGCTCAATTGATCAATTTGTTTCTGAGTTATGAATCATTTTAAATAAGTATAGTGTCCGTTTTACCCCACCCTCCCCTAATAAATTCGAGGGATTGTTTCTCATTTGAGAATTCATTTACACTGGACATTTTTCGAATTTTATAGGTTGAAGTTATTGTTTGGCATTTCTTTTCGCAATTCATGGGAGGTGGAGAAGGAATTCTCGGAATAGTCGTATTTATATTTATTAGGGCAAATTGGGGTAAAATGGACACTTGACTTTTTTTAAAATGTTAATGAGCGGTTGAAATTTTGATGAAATTTAATAATTTTTTTTTCAATAGAAAGAACAATTCTTCCCCTTTCTGATGAGCCTAAACTGAGCTTAATTGATAAATTTTTTTCTCAGTTATGAACAATTTAAAAAAGTCTAAAGTATCCATTTTACCCCATCCTCCCCTCTATATTAATATAGGCGAGGATATTATTATTATATTGATTGTCAGATGTTTTTTATGTTATCGAAGTTAATAATTTTTATTCTCTTCAATTTTCTCATCATGTTTTTTCATGTCTGTTAAAACATGTTTTATTTTTATAGGATACATTATCCATCGATTATCTTTGGGGAGTAATGGGCACATTAGTCTGATTCGATGTTGAAATTTGAATAATAATTTCAGGAAAATTATAGGACAAAAAAATGCAGAAAAAACTGCATTATCAATACAGAGAGCAGGGATATGAATTAATTTCAAACCTTGAATCAAAACCGCGCGTTGTAATCAAGCGGAAATGATTCCTTATCACCTTATCGACTAACGTTTTCATCAGTTCGTCCTTGGGTTGTCCTTAGCGTCGAGCAGGATAACAATCCACGATAGTCCCAACAGAAATTGAAGCCCATTTATTTTCCCAATGGAGACGAGAGTAAGATCAATAGTTATTGCGACGAAACTCTCTTCGCCTCCGATCCGAGCAAAAATTTAAATGGCAATTGATTTTAGTCGATGGCCAGAGCACGAAGGGCGAGGGAAGCCGCTGAGGCAGCTGTCAAGGCCAGTACTACAATCAACAATTTACCGGACGATTGTCTATTCCACATATTCGGTTTTTTACCTTTGGAGGATCGTTTTCGATCAACAGCAGGTGATGTGCAATTCAATCTTAAACTTCTGTGTATTTTGGCATGGGCAACTCGAAGAGAAAGTTTCAAACGGTCTTTTTGGGTCGTTCCACCAATTTTTATTTGTTTGCTTTTTTCCATCGTAAATTTCAGAAAATTTCCTAACCAACATCTATTTTTAATTTTGGTGCTGTGAAGAATTCAGAGGTAAAATTGGAAGAAGCAAAATCTAGTCCTCCCAAAAAATTAGTTTTCTGTACTGCTTCTCACGATTTCTCGCCCGTGAATTGGTATTGCATACTTCCACTTTGAAACCTTGAAAATCACTACAAAAAAATGTCCCAGGGTGCTGCGATGGGTTTTTTTACTCGTGTAGTTGGCCAGTCCTCACCTTCGGCTCGGACGCCAACGCCACACGAGTAAAAAACCCCATCGCAGCAGCCCGGGAAAATACTATTTTCGAATAGAACTTGAAATCTAGAGGAGACAGCGAAATTTTTGTATGAATCTTGTGTTGAGTGCGATGCATAATCGGAAGGTCCCGGGTTCAAATCCCGGTCTGGACTATCCATTTTTTTCAGTTAAAATTTTCGGGTTATTCATATTGAGAATAATCCTGGTTCCCCTCCTACCTTATCCAAATCCCATCCACTCATTTCTTATGACGTCACAAAGATGTGGAACGCTATATAAATTCTCTTCTTTAATGTAACTTTCTTTAATGTAAAAAAATTGTGTTTAGTGCGTATGGGTCACTTTACGCACGCTCGTGAACTTTACGCACTCAACACATCACTACGTGAAGTTCACGAGTGTGCGTAAAGTGCCAAAAATTGAATCTTGTTAAGCTTGTATATAATTGTATATATATTATTACAATGACATATGCTAAATAAACAGCTTTAATCGTTAATCGTAGTATGCAAACGTTGGAGAGATTTTGGGTCCGATTCTTGGCACAACCTCCAAAAACTCGATCTGATCAGTCTCGAGAAGTCAAAGCATCCGTTGTCTTTCGCACCTAGAAACAGACCTAGGCGCAATCGGTTCTACAGATACTATCGTGATGATGATGACGCTGATGATGAAGAGGATAGCTATGAGGATGATGAGAATACCCGCGTGAGGTTCACGATAAAGTACCCAAAATTGATGACACTTTGTGGAGGATTCGTAAAAATCCTGATGCTCCCAGTCCCAAGCCGTTTCGATATCATTCGAGAGGCCTCCGAGACAAGTCGAAATCTGAAGAGAATTGTCATTCGTTTTGAAAATTTTCGCGACAAGGGGAGACAGAGCAAACACCTGGGGCGATTGTTTGCGAAGAACAGAGGGACACTACGAAGCGTGATAATTGATAACATGCAGGATTTTTCGGTATATACTGGATGTCTTCTTGAATTACCCAAGAAGTTGGTGGAGCTACAATTGTGGGGGTACAAGGCTCATTATGCACGTTACGCAGAAAGCGCGCGCACACCATATTTTAATCGTTTTGTTCCAGTGAGTTCGTAACAAGAGTTTGATTTTATCTCCCCTCACGATATTTAATAACGATATTTATCCATTATCGAAAACCTAATGTTTTATTTCCCTGGAAATAAAACGTGCGGGGGGAGGGGGAGACACCAACATTTGTGATAATTAAGAAAAATGAGTTGTAATACACTGGTAGAAAAACAATGAAACTTCAGGAAGAGTTGACTACTAATTTTCAGTACCGTGATACTGAATGCAATTTAGGGGGGAAAAAATTATGAAATTTTAGGTTTCACCGAAAATTAGATAAAATTCCAGAATTTTAAACAACATAAAGACGAGAATTCCTTGATTTATTTGAATTTCCAATCTAATGTGAATATTCAGTGTCAAATTACATTGAATTTCCAGTGAATTCTGAAATTTCATGATTTTTTCCCCCTAAATCGCATTCAGTGACACTGCCCTGAAAATTCAAGAATATATTTACCAGAATTTTCTGGTTTTCTATTTATTTTCAGAGAAAAATGGAACTAAAATTTACAGTTCTTTCCAAATTTTCCACGAAATTCTGAATTTTCAATGAAGAAATTCCTTGAAATTTCAGTGGTAATTGAATTCGATAAAAATTTCCAAAAAGGGTTCCGGAAATTTCAGACAAAAATTTTTAACAGTGTAGTTTCGACGAAATAAAATAGACAAATTCCTTCTTATATACGGGTTTCTGTTGGTTTTATTTTCAAGCTGATAATTTGAAAATGAATCGTTCCAGAAAGGATGAAAATGAAAATAGCCGGAGGACTTCGAAAATGAAAATAAGACCCAGTGGTCAAGGGCCTATTCAAATTTTTCTGAATTTTTGTGATTCTAGGTAAAGATCGTTATTTAAATGAGTGCAGGAAAATAGTATTTTTTGAAACGAGTGGATAAAAGTGCTTTTGGCACTTTTGTGATAAAAAATAAATTTTCAAGAATTCTGTTCTAAATTTATAAATTCCCACGGCTCGAAAAATAATGCAGCAAAATTATTTTGTTTTTTCAACTGAAACAGGCACTGAAAAGACTGAAGAATTTGGAAATCCTAGTATTGAACGGCCTTCAAATTTCCGGAGATCAACTTGCAATGATTGGGAACTTCGATAATTTGCGATATCTCGAGATTTTTAGGAGCACCCCTAGCAGGCCAGTTCCCTTCGAGATACAGGCAATCGCAAGTCGCCATAAACTGGAGTATCTCTCACTGCAGAATGTGAAGAATATGACCGCTGGTTGGTTCGCAGATCTCGTGAGGAATAATCCAGACTTGAAGCATTTGAAATTGCAGAGTAATATGTTCATTCTATTTCAACCACAAATATCATCATTAATTATATTCAAATTTTATTCATATTCTATTGAAACTCCTTGAACGTTTATTGGAATTTCTTTAAAAACTTGTCGTTTTTGAAGGTCTGCCGTAAAACCTGGAAGTTGGACGGCCTTAAAAACGTAGAGAATCGAAAATAGAAATAATTCCGTTATTTTCCCTGCAGCTTGCGCATTGCGACCGGAATTCATTCAGCAATTATTCGCATTGTCTAAACTGGAGACTCTGAGCCTGACCTATCTGCATATCGCGCCCGAGTCCCTCGATCTGACGGGATTTCCCAATCTCCAGAAATTCGTCTGCACCACCGCTGGGGATCAGGCGGTCATCATACTGCTGGAGACAGCATTAAACCTCAAGTTGATCAATCTGAGCAAATCTGAAGGAGTGACACCCCTAGTGCTGCATAAAGCTCACGTAGTCACCAGTACTCGCACGAATAATGTGCCTCTTCACGTTGTCGTCGAGAGCTATGTTCTCAGGGAATGGCAGAAGCCAACTAGGCCGTCCCCACTTCTCACTGTGGAACACTCATACGATTTCGAAGAGCGCACTCGTTATGGATATGAATGCAACGAAGAGGAATTGTTTTATTGAGAGACAAGTGCTGAGAGAATTGTAAAATAATTGTTGTGATACAAAAAAATCTCGATGATGTTTTGGGTAATTTAAATAATTGTCTCTTGTCTTAGTTTTGAGGCTTTCGCGGCCATTATTAATGACGTGGTTGGCTTCCGGATGGATGCCGCGTTGAGTTTCAGCATTGCGCCGACGTTTCGCAAACATTGCAGTCTGCATCTTCAGGGCTATGAGCTCCGATTCTGAGCTCCGATGTGTGGGGGCAGTCCTTATATACCTTCCCTTGTGGTGGTGGGAGAAGGGGCAGGGGGGGGGTCAGCCAATCATATGTTTTTAATTGACCAGCTGATCAACCAGCTGATCAATTAAAAACATATGATTGGCTGACCCCCCCCCTGCCCCTTCTCCCACCACCACAAGGGAAGGTATATAAGGACTGCCCCCACACATCGGAGCTCAGAATCGGAGCTCATAGCCCTGAAGATGCAGACTGCAATGTTTGCGAAACGTCGGCGCAATGCTGAAACTCAACGCGGCATCCATCCGGAAGCCAACCACGTCAATTGTCTCTTGTTTTATTGTAAAGTTTTACGTTTGCATTTGCATTCCTTTTTTCCGACCGATTTCGGATTTTGGAATCCGTCTGAGGCAGACCTTTCATATTTTTTAGAAGATCTCTGTCCGACGGAGGTCATGCACGGAGAGAAATGTTCAGTAAAAATTACGGAACTCACAATTCGCTCACCGATTACGGAATCGACTCAGAAAATTTAAGTGACGGTATCGTAATTTGTCACAGGAGATTCGGATAAAAATTACGGAATGCTCTGGAAATATTCCGTGACAGTTACGTAAAATTTCCTACAATCACATTTTGCTCTGGAATTACGGGAAAGATATGTAATTTTTATTGAGTATTTCTCTCCGTGTGGGCGAGGCGAAGGTCCCATTTAATTCAATTCTAATTCTGCTCGATTTAATTGTGAGAAAAAGGGGGGTAAAATGAATTGTTCTTTATCATCAATGAGTCAAAAAAGATTGTGTGGAATTTTCTTTTTTTTTTATATTAAAGATATTTTTTTTCTTCAAAATCTATATTGAATCATTTCTAAGAAGAAAATCTCCTTCGTCTCCTTCAAAATTATAAAATTATTATGTGACCGAGTAGAAGTTATATAGTAAGTTATGATTAAGAATATTTCTAATATTCTTAATTATATTTTTAATTATATTCACGATTCAATTAATCAATGAATCAAAATATAGATTTGAGTTTTGAGGCTTAAAAAACTCAAAAATATAGATCCGGAAAATATAGATTGTTCGGGACAATTCTCTGTAGGGAAGGTTGGGGTAAACACTTTTGACTTTTTTAAAAATGTTAATGAGGGATTGAAGTGTTGATAAAATTTAATAATCGTTTCTTCAATACAAAGAACAATTCTTTCCCTTTGTGACGAGCCTAAACTGAGCTCAATCGATCAATTTGTTTCTGAGTTATGAATAATTTAAAAAAAATCTAAAGTGTCCATTTTACCCCACCCGCCCCTAATTTTCGCAAGATTTTCTCGTAATTGATGATGCTCTTTGGAGAATCCCCTTGAGAATACTTCTTCACTCCACACGGCAAGAAAATCATTTTAAATTTCGAACTAACCGGCCGCCGGTACCAGAAGTCGTCTATCATAACCTCATCATCAACTCGCACAGTGATCAGTGTGACTGGTCGTAAACAAAGGATCGAGACCATCAGAAAACATCAATCTCGATTTGTTTTCCACAGGAGCCAGGGTAAGATTAATTATCATCACGAACGTCTTTTCCTCATCCTGAAGCTCGAATGTACTAATCCAAAGTGTCAAAATTGCCTCCACAAATTACGTTCAACCAAATTCGCTAGTGAAGCAAAATGATAAAAAATACTCTTGATCCATTCAATAAACTCTAAAGACGATGTCCAAGAGAAAAAATTGCCGGAACTGCTTGGATATCCTTAATTTCCTCACTTATAAACATTCAAATGTCTGTGAGCCATCTACGTTGAAGCCAAATCAAGCAAAAAATTAATAAACAAAAAAAGATTAAAAATTCATCAATTTTGAACACTTTTTTGGGTTCATGACGTCAACTCACCGGAACCAAGTTCCTCTTGCGACTACTAGCAGCGCTATTGAGTTATTCTAGCCTCTCAAAGTGCGAGACGTTCAACCAAAACAAATCGAGGGGGTTATGTTTGAAACAATCATTAAAACTAGATAAAAAAAATATATTGGCACTAACAAATGAAGTTTGTGCTGGAAAACGATTTTCAAAAGGCGGGCTCGGGAAATTTACCAACGGTAGACGCGACTATGTTGATAGATTTTATATTTTATGGGTTTAAATCTGCGTTAAAGTGTCGAAAGTCGTGGTTGTATAATTTTCACTGTTGTATTTTTACATCCCGGTACAAAACAATATTTATAAAGAACTTTCATCACTCGATCCGGTTTTTCTGACATTTTGGAACCAACTACATGTACAGAGTATTTTCCTAGATTTCAAAAGCTATAATGAACCGCTTGATGGCGCCACACGAAAATTTCGGCCTCCGGTGAGGTGACGTCACATCTTTTCAGAACGTTTAAAAAATACAATTTTAAAAGTAAATAAATAAATAAATAAATGAATAAATAAATAATAATTATATTATATTAATAATAAATAATAAATAAATAAATAATTACTAAACTATTTTCCGTGTTTTCCTATTAAATATGAGTTCTTGGGGGTATATTTCTTCAAATATGCCCCCAAGAATTCAGTAGCGAAATGATAAAGCGGTTTAACCCTAGTCTGGTCACCTGACGGGAAAATGCGACTTTAGTCACCTTCGCGGGAGAGTGAGATCCGATCAATTAGCCCCTCATGTATAGATATTCCAAATTTTTATTTTTTTCCTCATTGAAGTAGTTTTGAAGAAAATTGCGAGCTAATAAAAAACATTTGCTAGTTAGTACTTTTTTTAAAATAAATTTTTGAAAAATCACCCCTGAAAAAAAAG